TTTCTAATCCACCAGAAAATGTCCACATTCACGAGTGAAGATGGCCGCTTCACCAAACAGTAAGGATGAAAACTTTTTTTTTTAGTTGGAGATGGAGCTAAAAGTTATAAAATCATACTTTGCTGGAAGACAATCAGGGAGGTAAAAAAGAGCATCTATAAGCGAGGATTTAGCAGGGAAGGGAAATGACACTAAAGGAAGATAACATGATTACAGGGGTATGTAACTGTAAGCTCCCGAGGGCTTCAGTTTATTACAGGATGGTCCCAGGGCAGTGGCAGCAGAAATTTTTCTGATAACCTGCTATAAAAACTGCTTTCTTAATCATCTTGACATCCCCTGTAAAGATTTATCAATAATGCTGTGCATCAAGACCCTTTGGGTATAAGCAGCCACATCGGGCATCTGCGTGGCCATCAAGGCACATGTCCCTTTGGGACATAACACTGTGCTATCTAACACTTGTCAGGCTCAGAGGATAAGCACGTCCCCTGTAGGGTAAATGGTTCTGTCGGCATCAAGGTTAGAGGAAGTGCTTTTTGAAAGGCAGCTTGTAAAGTCCCAGGTGGATTCAAGACTTAAATGGAGTTAATAAGCCTCCGCTTTTAGTTAGACTGCTCTGTTTATACAAACCGAGTGCCTCAACTTTTAAGCTCACACATAATCAAACTTGTCTGAAACTAGTTCTCACTTATAAATTGATAATAGCTACTAGTTTCATATGGTTGTTGTATTAAAAGAAAATATATATAAAGGGCAAACATAGTTACGTTTTCCTTCAGCAGATAACTAAAAGCATACCTGTATTTTTCATGACTTAGGTACCAAAACTCCTGGGTTAATGAAATGAACCAGAAATACTGCAGTTTACTTATCAGACTTATTTTGGAAGCTCTTAGAAATCAAATGCATGTATTATTTCTTTCTGTGACTTTATTATAAAGTGAATAAAATGTGTGCTTGCTGCCTCATTCACTCACAAATGCTTGTATTTAGTTTACTTTTTTTTTTTTTTACTTTGTACCAGTTGACACCAAGCTAAGTGATGGTTATATAAGAAATAAAACAACTTCAACTTTGGTCTTTGTATTCAGAAAGCTTACTATCTAGTGGAGGAAGACAGGTATACCATTCATTTAGCTACAATTTAATATAAATGAAATGACAAGTTACTATAAACTATACAGAAAACAACAGTATAATGTAAGATTGTATAGTGTTGCAGTGGTTAAAGTACTCATCTATCTGAAAGGTTAGTGGTTCAAACCTATCAACTTCTCTGTGGGAGAGGCTGAGACAATCTGTTTCTGTAAAGATTTACAGCCTTGGAAACACTATGGGCAGCCCTCTGCCCTATATGGTTGCAGTACTGAAACTGACACAGTGCTAATGTGTTGGGGGTTTTGAGTCTTTATAAAAGAACTAGTAGTGTGCAACAGTAAAGAATATGTATGATTTAAGTAAAGAGTATGATTTAAGAGGTGTGGGAAAGTAACATTTTTCACTATCTCATTAATAATGCATGGAAAAAGTGAATAGTTATTTTTAAACCTGGTTATTGAATTAAACTTTTGCAAAGAAACTTTGTTTGGAATCTGCATTAGTAGCTTTTCGTTTTAGTATGTTAGTAAATTACAGCTTTTTCTTTTCTTTTTTAATGTAATGGGGAAATCCAAGTAGACCCCAGATAATGGATGAGGAAGCAGTCACAGTTGTGACATCAAGGGCCTCCATCTGCATATTAGAGCAAGAATCACAGCCAGAGAGGAGTATCTCCTGGGTCACTGTCTATCTGAGGAGCCATAGCTATGTCATAGGACAATTTATATTTATAACCTTAAGATCTATAATTCTTTTTATATGAGCCATGCTAGTGTTTTCTGAATATCCTTAAAGCCCAAGTGATTTAAGAAATCTTACAGCATGCACTGTTTGTTCAATGTGTACTAATAGCATCCTTTACAAAACCCAGTAACAGCCAGTACTTGCCATTGTCTGCTCATGGTGACCCTGTGTGTGTCACAATAGAATTGTGCTCCACTGTGTCCAATGGCTGAGGTTTTGGAAGTAGACTGCCAAAAAATAAGTGTCTTTTTTCCTAGGCAGCTCTAGGTAGACTGAGCTGTCCCACCTGTTTAGGTTAGCAGCCAAGCAATTAGAAGTTTAAAAAAGCTGTATCAAATTAATTTGTAATGCCTGGCTCAGCCACACCTTTGCAAGCTTTCCTCCCCATCCGTTCTGAAATCCTTTCCATTCTTTCTAGTACAAGCTTTCCTCCCCATCCATTCTGAAATCCTTTCCATTCTTTCTAGTACCAAGATACTTCTTTCTGTATAAGACAATTCTATTCCAAAGTTTTTACTTCAATCTGTATGAAATAATGCTGAGTGGTATGGCTTATTATTGCATTTTCCAAAGTACTTCTCTTTTGCCATACTCCTAGACATTAGGATTCCAGACATTTGAAAAACTGTGCAAGAGCATCGTAAAGACTGTGAAGATGATTAGAAAACTTGTTTAATTCAAGTTTACTTGACAACAGAATTCTTTTGTAACTTTTGAAGAGCATACAGAAATGATAGTAATCAAGTGAGTATGGACTTAGTGTCCGTTTAAATCATGCTTTCACCATATTCTAGCTAAGTGAAAGCAGGGATTCTGGATTTTCTGTTTTCGATCATGGTGGTGGTTGTTTTTAAGCCCCCTTATATATAATTCTGATGGCATGGTGCATTACGTGTTGCACTGCAAACCAGAAAGTTAGCAGTGGGCAGCTACCAGCTGCTCCAAGGAACAAAGATGGGTAGTTTTTCTCCTATAAATATTTACACCCTTGGATGAGGAGGGCATAGGACAGGACGGGGTTCAGATCTGTTGATAGGATCATTATGAGTGGTACTCTGCTCAGTGGCACCCAACAACAACAGAGGCACTGTGAAAGAAGGACCTGGCGATTGATTTATGAAAAATCAGCCATTGAAAGCCCCATGAAGCACAGTTCTACTCTGAAATACAGGATCACCATGAGCTGGAGTGGAAGGGTAACTAGTAAGCCTTTTTTCAGAGCAATTAAATCTTAATGTCTGCTTCCAGGCATGTGTATAAAGCTCCTTGGGGGATTCTAAAGTTGAATGTTGAGAAGACTTCCTCTTTTCCCTTGCCCACCTTCATCTGAAGAATTTCAGTTTCTTAATGAGAAGGTAAGGAAAAAGAGCAGTGGTTTTGGATTCCATAAATTAGTATTTTGTGGATTTTAAAAAAAATCGTATTATTTTTATGTGTACCGTCAAATCAGATCTGACTGGTACGGGAGGAGATTGCCCCCTCCTTCTCCAGCAGAGCATCTGGCGGATTTGAACCGCGTACCTCTGGACCGCACATAACAACAACAACAACAACCTCTGGGAGTGAAGTGCAGTGTCTTGCCACTAGGCCACCAGAGCTCCCTTATTTTGTGGATTTTTACAATAACTTTATAACTTCAAATACTGTTTCCATTCTTTAAAAAATCTGTCACTGAAAAAGCAGTTGGTTAATATTGTATATAGTATATTTTATGTTCTAAAAGTATAAAAAACACAAAGAGTAATAACCAACTTCAGGGCAATGAAGGCAAGGATGAGGAATCCAACAATATGCAATATTTTATGACTTTAAATTTTTTCCATTTTTATAATTGCTTTTAATTGTGTAAATATGGAGCCTAACTTTTTTTGGCCAGGACTAATTCTGTTCAAATACAGGAGATGTTTCTGCTTGAGCCAAAACAAAAATCTTTAATAAACAACTACTCACCAATCTCTCAAAATTATACTCTTCCTCTTCTCAAATGTCATTTCTTTTCATCCGTGTCTATTTTTAAAAAGTGGGGCTGTGTCTTTAGAAGGGAAAATGGATTGGAAAGTCTTCCATTTTTCACCCCAGGGGATCAAGCATATAAATTAAGAGTCCTTTCCATAAGGTAAACTTCTATTATGACTGCGCTTTTAATGGTCGGAAGATGGACTATTACTATAAATGTCCTTTTGTTAGATTTCTGTCACATTTTATAATTCGTGTAGTCTCAATGGAGGTATTTTGTTAGAATAATTTAAAATGGTACACTTTATCATTCATTTGTTTGGAGTTCCCCCTCCCTTTTCCCATTTGAGGGAGCTCTGGTGGCCTAGTGGTGAGGAGCTGCACTGCCAACAGGGTTCAAATCCACCGGCTGCTCCGCAGGACAAGGACCGGGTAATCTCCTGTGAAAGCCTCTGAAAACCAGCTTGAGGGTCAGTTCTGAGAGGGGTCCGAGATTCTGACTCAACAGTACAGTACAACTACCATTTAGAATACGAAGAATGTACCCACTGCTTCTGACATCTGCCACTTAAATGATTCTTAGACATTTTCAAGTTTCTAAAGTTATGTTTCATTTTTCCAACATCTCTACTTTCAAGCAAGTTTTCATTTTAAAATACATGTGTTTCTAGATAGGTCGTAGAAACATTTGTTTAGAACTCAAAATGAATTATTAGGAACATTAATGACTTAAAGGCATTTTTGTTGTTGTTGTTGTTAAAAGAATCAGAAAATTGAAACGACAGCGTGTACCACTAACCCAGTCATGTCGCTTGTGCTTTAAATTGGAACTTTTTAAACCCAGGATAATTTTTCAGTTAGAGCGCCAGAAAGGATCGGTATCACACTGGCAGAAAGAAAGAGCTGATAAGTTGTGTTTTCTCTACCATTAAGACGATCCCCTCGCAGGATATTTGAAGCTTTGGCACTAACTCACACGATCTCAATTTCAGTATAGAAGTAAGTGGCACCTTTCTCGGTTCAAATAAGCACTGAATGAGGTGGATCTGTGTGTCCGCCCTATTAAGAGGGAGCTGAAAAAAAATGGTTAGGCCAACGGAGATACCAATACTTAAAGGTTTCAGATATATCTTGGTAAAACCATAGCGCCTCAAATTCTAGAGGCTTTGGAGGTGCTAAGTGTTTTGTGAGTAACAAACCTGCATAGACCAAAAAGGTGATGAGGGCTGATAGCAGGTGGATGCGAAGCTTTGCTCGGATTTCCTGGGAGTGCAGTAAGGCGCTGTGGAAGACGAAGGAGCAGAGGGTCTCTATGATGACCGCTTTGGGCAAGTCGACGTGGATGGGATTCCTGCAAGCGAAGGTCCTCTCGCTGACGTGATACTTGGTTAGACCCAGGCTCCACAGGGCGCCTATGCAGTACCTGCTGCACAGGGCACTCATCAGCTGGGCCAGTAGACTCATTGCACCCAACTCGGGGGACATGTCCCCCAACATCATCTGCATCATCACGCCGCACGGATTGCTGGCGGTTCCCACCAAAGTCAGACCATGCACTAATGAGAAAAAGTAGACCAGGGCCAGCGGCCAGGTGGGGTGCGCGGGGTCCTGCTCGCTCAGGAGCTGTAACTCGTGCGTGCAGCAGCAGAGCTGAAAGGTGGCCAGAAACTCCAGGACGAAGGCATGCACCCTGGGGCTGTGCAGCTGCCGCCGGGCGAGCACGCGGGCCAGTCCCATGGACACTACCAGCAGCAGCAATAGCAGGAGCGAGATACAGGTGTCCTGCACCTCGGGTCGGAGCTCCGGCCGCACCGCCATGGCTCCCGCGCCGCCAGCCTGCGGTCTAGGACTCCGGCTCGGCTGCTGGCGGTCAACGGACCCGGTCCGAAGTCCGCCCCGCCTCCCCACGCCCTCCGGGCGGGCGGGCCCGCTCTGTGAAACTGGAAGCCCGGGGGCGGCGCCTTGGAGAGGCTCCTCCCCACGCCCCGGCTGCCGATATGTCTCCTAGAGGGCCGGGGCGCGGGGAGGCCAGGGCGGCGCCGAGGGGCCAGCTCGGGGCAGGGGTCAAAGGGAACAGTCCCCGTGCACGGCCTCCGCGGTCCCTGCAGATCGAGCGTCCCCTGCCTGGGGGCGGGGAGCAGAGCACGCTGCGCCTCGAGCCCAGGGCGCATGCGCGGGCGGCCGCGCGCCTGGGACCCCGGAGGCTCGCAGGCGTGGGGGTTGTCTGCCCCTTGCAGGGAGAGGACAATCTGCTACTTACTGTGGTCTTTTTTCTTGCTACATTTGTTTTTATTAAGGCAAAATATGTATAGCAAAAAACATTTCTTAATGTTAACAGGTTTTAAGTGTATATATAGTTCAGTAATTTTATTACATTCACTATCATGGTCTTATTTTTGTTGTTACGTGCCATCGAGTTGCAACAGACTCTTGTCTTACTTTCCAGGGGGTTATCAAAGGCAGTAAATAGAGTAGAAGATTTTCGATTTTTCTCCCTCTGAGAAACAAGTGGTTCAAACCACTTGATGGTTCAAACAAGTGAACGCTTTGAAAAAGTGGTTTAAACCATTTATCTTTGGATAGGCAGTGCAACTCTTTCCCACGGGATCATCAGAGCTTAAGGTGAAAAAGACGGGGCGGGGGGGGGGGGGGAGAGAAAGCGTCCAAATAAAATAGAAACATCCATACAGTGGCACGTTAGACACTGATAAAGAGAGATGGACTATCAAGCTAAGACACAAAATGACTCTTAAATAAATATTGCTTAGTGAAAAAAGGCAATTTGAAGTTGTGTGCCATTCTGGAAAAGGTGAGAATGTAGAGACAGAAAACAGATTCATGTCTGCCAAGGATCTTGTAAAGGAGGAGGGTTGAACAGTTAACAGTTAAAGCACTGAAGATATTTTAGGTTGGTTGTATAGCTCTGATCTCTGATACTAGGGCACAATGCATTTCTCAAAATCCAAACAATTTCAATCTTAATGGATGAAAATTTTAAAGATAGTCTTTTAGAATTCCAAAATGGAATTAAGACATTATATATATATATATTTGATTACTTTCGAGTTGAGCATGACTCAGCGACCCAATGAACAAAAGGCTAGAAGTCCATCTACAAGGAAAAAAAAAAAAAAAAAGTCCTTCTACAATTATTGACATTTATCAAAGTTCATAGTTTCCGGAGGTATGTTGTTTAAGAAGTGGATGCCACTCCTATAATTAAGATGCAACTTCACCAGTGCTGACTTTAGTAGCTTTGAAAAAATGTGGAATCTGTAAAAAGCAAATGCAAATGGTACTGTCAGTAAACACTTTCTTCTCATTGAAGTTGTTTCCCACTGGGGCTGTTGTTGTTGTTATGTGCTGTTGAGTGCTTGTGACTCATAGGGACCCTATGCACAACAGCCCTAAACTCCGCTTTGTCCTGTGCCAATCTCACTGTCTCTGACACTCCCATCCCAATTATCCCAGTCACTGAATCAATCCACCTCATAGAGGGCCTTCCTCTCCTGCGCTGTTCCTCCACCCTCCCAAGCATGATGTCCTTCTCCAAGGACCGGTCTCTCCTCACAACATGTCCAAAGTATGTTAGACTGAGCCTCAGAATCCTTGCCTCCAAGGAGCCACCCGGTTTAACCCTTTCCAGGAGAAATCTGTTTGTTTTCCTAGCAGTCCACCTAAAAGCAACCCCTAGTAGGGGTTGCTTTTAGGTGCTGTTGAGTTGAGTGACTGAACTGGAAACTTGTCCTATCCTGTGCCGTTCTCACAATCTCTGCCATGCTGAAGCTCATTTTTGTAGTCACTGTTTCACCCCAGAAGATTAGCTCTTCGTACTTTATTGACTATGCAAAGGCATTTGGCTATGTGGATCATAACAAATTATGGCTGTAACATTGAGAAGAATGGGAATTCAAGAACATTTGATTGTGCTTCCACTTAATTGTGAAACCAATTCACTGTTTTGTGAACACAGTTTTACAAGGATGGTTTAAAATCAGGAAAGGTGTTCATTAGCGTTATATTCTTTCTTCATACCTATTTAATCTGCTGAACAAATCATTCAAGAAGCTGGACTCTTTGGGGAGCTCTGGTGGCCTAGTGGCAAGGAGCTGCAACTACAATCCCAGAGGCGCACGCTTCGAATCCACCAGATGCTCTTCTGGGCGAAGGCGGGACAATCTCCTCCTGTACCAGTCAGATCTGATTTGACACTACACGCACACAAAAATAATAAAATAAAATAAAAATAAAAAAAGAAGCTGGACTCTATGAAGAAGAATGTGGTGTCAGGATCAGAGGAAAACTTATCAACAGCCTGTGCTATGCAGATTACACAACCTTAGTTTGCGTGAATTGAGGATTTGAAGCACTTGCTGTAAAAGATCAAAGACTGCAGTCTTCAATATGGATTATATCTCAACATCAAGAAAATAAAAATTCTCTCTACTGGACATCACAATAGAGGGGAAAAGGATATAAAATGTCAATAATGTCATCTTACTTGAATCCGCAATCAACACATTTGGTACCAAGAGTCAGGGGATCAGGAGATAGATGTATTGCATTGGAAAGTCTGCAGTCAGGGACCTCCTTGTCTTGGAGAAAGTGCAGCCAGAATACACCTTTGAGGCAAAGATGACAAAGCTTTATCTCATATACTTGGGCTTGTTGTTGTTGCAGTTATATTCTGTTAAGTTGTTTACAATTCATAGCGACTTTATGTACAACAGCTCTAAACCCTGCTCTATCTCGAGCCAATTTCATTGTCTCCAACACACACCCTGATTCCCCCAGTCAAGAATGAATTTATAGTAGAGAAAACAGACAAGCATTATCTATGGCATTGTAATAAGTATAGAAACCTAGCAATTTTATAGGATCTGCGCACCAGAAACTGCTGAGTGCTTTGGCTGCACACCAGAGTTTGCACCCTTTTAAACTTCAGCATAAAAAGGGTTCATATAGCAGGCCACAGGCAGAGGAAAATACTGGTGGGAAAGACTGCTCTGCAGGTGCGTTCTGGGGCTCCACAGAGAGCAAGTATGGAAGTCTGGTGTTCCTACAGAGTGAGCAGAGGTGGTGGTTATGTGCCATGGAGTTGTCTGAGGCTCAAAGTGACCCTATGCACAATAGCTCTGCACTTTGCCCTCATTGTTCTGACTCACCTACCCCATTATCTCAGTTACTATATCAATCCATCTCCTCTAGGGTCTTATTCTCCTGGATTGTCCCTCCACCCTTCCAAGTATGATGTCCTTCTCCAAGGACCAGTCCCTCTTGGCCACATGCCCAAAGTATGTGAGCTTCAAAATCGTTGTCTCTAAGGAGCAACTTGGTTTCATCCTCTTCAGGACAAACCTATTTGTTCTCTTTGCAGTCCATGAAATGTTCAACACTCTTCTACAGCACCACAACTCAAAGGCATCGATCCTCCTTCTGTCATCCTTAGTCATTGTTCAGCTTGGATGCGTAGCTATCAATTGCAAAGACTATGTCCTAGATCAGGTACATTTTAGTCTCCAGGCTGACATTACTCTTTAGCACTCTGGAGAGGTCCCTGACAGCAGGTTTTTCCAATGCAATTAGAACCAAATTATTACTGCTTTATGACTGCTATTGCAGCCTTATGCATCTTTCCATGAGGGATGTAGCAGGCTGAAAAACACAGATGAAAAAAAAAAGAAAAACACAGATGATCTCCAAAAATGAAGACATTTACCTCTAACATTATCTCAGTTAATGTTCATGGAAGAAGCAGTGGCCAGGAAATAAAAAAATGTAGAGTGGGTGGAAAATGTGGAACAGAGTTTATAAACATAAAAATTGCCTGGTTCAATGGAGACTGATGGAGGTCCCAATAAATACTATGGCCTTTATCCACCCTTCCAATCTGAAACAAACCTGAAGCTCAGTTTTCTGCCAAGCAAGCAATAGACGGCCTAAGATGAACAGAAACACCCAGAATTATCAATCACATGAGATCAAAAGGGCAGCATTTGCCCGGGGATAAATCTCAGAAAACAGGAAGGGACAGGAGAACAGGCTTAAAGGAAAGAAGCACAGGAAGGAATGAGAAAAAGGTGTTTACCTCATACGATGGTTATTGTTATTAATATTGTAAAACAAAGGTGTGAGAATGGTTGAGTGAAAAAAACATTTTATAAGCTTTCACTTAAATCTATCCAAATGCCTATTCACAGTTTTATTCATGAAGCCCTGGTGGCACAGTGGGGTAAGCATTGAATGCTGGCTGAGAGGTTGGATGTTTGCATCCATCAGTGGCTTCATGGGACGAAGATGTGGCAGCCTGACTCTGTAAATACTTACAACCTTGGAAATGGGGGAAGTTGTACTTTATCCCATAGGGCCGCTGTCAATCAGAACTGATGGGTTCCTTCTATGATGCTCAACTGGCTACTCTGACTTTACTCCCCTTCTCTTACAGTTGGTCTCATGACTGGATCTTCTGGGTCAAAAGTTGGGCATCCTGTTTGAAAGTGGACAGTGCAGTGATTGTACAACATGGTGCATAGGATCAGCGGCACCAAGTTGTCCAGGTGGAAAAATGGTTTAAAGTGGATTCATTTCTATCTCACAACAATGAAGAGAATGACACGCGACCTATCAAGACAGCCAGCATAAGGTTTGTTCGGGGAAAATAATGTGTTGAATGTGTGACTGATAGGATCTTATCATCATGCAGTCTCCATTTATTCAACAAAGTTTCTTGAACAGGTGTCTGGTGTGTTGAATCTCTTGGCGTAGTAGCATGTAGGGAGTTGTACTGCTCACCTAGAGGCTGTTTCTCTGGCAGGTCA